CCACTAGTAGTTTTCTTCAATAACTCCGTTGAGTCATATATAAACGGACAGAACATGTTGAGACCAACATTTTAGTATTAGTTTTATGCAGTTTTAATCAAATTTCGAAACCTAAAAGCAATCAATAAAATAATGTATCTTTGGTCATTTTCCTAATAATTCATCATATCATGTTAAATTCAATTTGATAATAAGAAAATAAGACAAAATACTACTCAAATTATCAATTTTGCAGCCCTTTGATGGGAGTTCAATCCCATGTACAAAACATCAATTGATCATTCAAATTAACGAGATATAGATTCCATATACTGGTAGAGATTGTCAGCATATTTATTATCAGCTCTTATCATTCGACAAATGTTTTGTATTGAAAATTCGAATGATAAAAACAATGATATCGTCCGTTGGACAGTTCTTTTAAAAAGCTATAAAATTATATATTTTCCAAAATCAAAAAGTTTTGACCACTTAAAAAGCTCGCAAGTGCATTTTTCTCTAGGCTCATATTTTGTGGCTTTTAAATCAATATTTGAAAGNCCATGTGTGGATGCCCCTGGGCGTTTTCTTTCTAATGGTGAAAACCGCAGGTAGCTAGCTACAGCCGTTCAGGAGATATTCCTCCTTGAGTTTTCTCCATCTACTTCTGGCGCCGACATTAGTTAAAAAACAATTTTGTTTTTGAGTATTCTTTAAAACAACTTGTAAAACATTCATTGAGCTACAAAATGGGTTGGTCAACAGTCCCATTGCTATTTTTAATCGTCGAAAAACTAATATTTTTTTTTGGAAAATTCCACTTCTGGAAAGTTTTAAACCTACTTTTTTAGACTATTTTATCACAAAAATCAAATATTATAAATCTTTTGAACAATTTCTCCGATACTGAAAATATCAAATCCTATAAAAGACTTACATTTTACTCCGAATAAAATGTCAACAACTACCCAATAAGTCATCTTAATATCGAAGAAATTCTTCATAGCGCCAGTTTTTTTAATAATGAAAAAATGATGTATCTTTCAAAAAGATATTTTCTGTGATGCTAGGATTTTTCATCGCAGAATAAAATGTTGTAAGATTTTATTATACAAAATATTTACACATCACCAATTCATTTTGTAGAAAGTAATGACAGATTTACAAAGCTCATAATGGTTCTTCACCAATATCATAGGTCAATATTAACATCCTCCCATCTCAATGACTTTCTGGCGGGAATCGAACAGAAGACCTTGGAACAGGATCGGACTTGAAAGCTGAGATACAATACCCGTACCGTCAGTTGGTTATACTTCATTCTGGTCGGTCATTGAATCAGGATATTGTATTCCTATTTTCAAGTTCCGACCATTTTTAGAAGTTCTCCGACTGGAATCGGCGCTTGCACACTTTCGCCTGAATACATTAGAGAAGTCTTTTGTTTAAAAAACTTTCAGATTGTTTCACCGAAATGTCAGTTTTGGGTGACATTACGAATGTTTTGTATATCTCTTAGAAACTTTTCTTCTAATTAAAAAAAAAGTTTTAACAAGATTTCTTTGGATATAGCTGTAGAAAAATCTTTGCGAATTGTGTAAATGTGGTAATATTTTTTCAATTCTGAATTCAAATATTTTTTCTCACATTCCGCCATCATTGTCTACAAAAACTAATTGGTAATGCTCAATGAAAACTTTGATCATCGAACACCAATACTTGTAGCTGACGTAGAACAATATCATCTATCTTTCTGTTTATACACTCATGGATTGACAAAAGAAGAGGCTCTAATTACTTTTTTGTTAGTAAACATTTAAAGATAAGATTGATGAAAAAACTTGTACAGTTCTAAAGAATAACTTTAAACGATATTGAAGCATGAATTTCGAGAAAAAGATATTTTATAAATACTTCACAATTGACATAGTTATGCAAATGCTATGCAAACATTTTTCGATGTATATTTTTAATGTTGTTTGTTTGCATGTACACAACTTATCCTATTTTTATTTTGAACTGTTCTTTTATTCTTATGTATGCATTTAGATCTTCATGTCAATTTTCATTAAAAATATGAAGATCAAGTTTCGATGATATCATAAGTGATCTGATCTATTAATATTACTTACCATCAACTAAGTTGGTTTAAAAATTGGTTTTTATTCTTTTTCGAAGTCAAGTATATAACGACTAGAGGTGTAAGCCGATGCGGTGAGTGGCGGCGACTCAGTCGATCGACTTACATATCTAGTGAGAAAATAATGCAAAAAAAAATATTTCAAGTCATCATTGCACTTATGAATATTTTTTTTAATTCTCATGATTCATTTCTCTATGATTATGTTCTTTTATTTTCTTGTCTTTCAGAAAAAGAGAGGGTGGGAAACAGAATCTGATCTTGATCGGGAACAATCATCACAAATCAATGGGTATCAAAAAAGAAAATGAAAAGTTTTAAAAAAAGAAAACAAACAAAATGATCAAAACCTATTCTGTAGCATATTGTTCTTGAATATATCGCCAATATTTTTTTCTAATTGGATCAATTTGTAAAGCTAATTTTTCGCCGAGATCAGTGATCATTTTTTTATTTTCATTACGTTTTTCTTCTTGATCATCATCAATTAATAATTCAATCATATAACCAAGTAAAAATTTCCATTGTCGATTATTAAAATCATCTTTTAGAAAATGATTTTCATATAAATTTTGACAAAATTTCCAGATACGTTGATCATTTAAATTTGTCGAACGAAAACGTGCTATACCACGTAAATAATTCCATGAACTTTCATTATCCGGACATGATTCAATACGTTTTTCAACATAATCTAATTCACGTTCAATTATATCATCTTTAAAACCTGTTGTATGAGCTATAACAAAATAACGTTGATTCCATGCTGAATTATTTCGTATGTCGTCTTGTATTAATTGATCAACATAATTTAATTCATTGGACCAAAGTGAATATGTATTAAGTAACCATTGACGATATTGCCATGCATGATAATTTTTTGAATCAATTTGAAGAATACTTGAAATAAATGATAATTCATTTGATGAATGACCTGAACGTTCAACAATTAAACGGCGATGTTCCCAAACCTTAAAAGAAAAAGCTGTTAGGTGCAATACCTACGGGATTAAAATGTGAAACAAGATCTAGCTACTGTTGCTAATCACAGGGAATTTGTTTTATTCTATATTCTCACTATTCATGTGTTCTAAAAGTTTATGTAAAAATTATTGACTAACGATCACTTCAATGTTTGCTGTTACATTTTTGATAATAAAATTAATCCTTTTTCTTTGCATAAAACAGAATGTCGAACACATAAACGTGAAGAATAAACAAAATATTAGTGAATTACATAAAGCCATGAATTTCTAAGAAGAATGATATTAGAGGTCATGTAGGTCGTAAAAAATATCTCGAGAGTATTGGCATTGATACAAAATGATATCGCATTTTTTGCTAATACATATATTACTCAGTGCGAAACCAGAACCAACATTTTTTCAGACCGAAATCAAAAACAATAGCTTCCGTTCGTCACTATATGTAGCGCTTCCATGGTAATGTTTATCATGATCTGAAGGAGGAAGAGGTTTCAAATTTCTACTCTGTATATTTCAACATACCCCAAAGCGACAAGAAGTTCTCAAAGCGTGTTTAAACATCTTAATTGTGCTTCCTATTTGAGCATTCTCACGTGCATTCAGATCACACTAAAATCAGCTACTATCATTGAAAAAAAAATGATATTTTTAACATGTAGTGGATATCAAAAATTTCGTTAGAAAATTTTTGGGCGTTTTCTGATACAAAAGTTGCCTTTTTAAGCGTCTTCAGACACCTTCTAACGACCTAGACCTTCCATTGTGGGTATTCTCATCGTTCCTTCAAACGGGATCTTCTATTTCTATCCAGTGTTTGCTAACATTTACCTGGAAAATCAAGGGTTTTCGAAAAATTAGTCTGATATTGAAACAGATGCTATCGGCAAATAAGCGTCGGAAAAGTAGAATTTTTGTTAAGAAAAACTTATGGTCTTCATTATGCACTATGAAAGTTTTCTTATAGGTGACCTAGTGATGTGGGATTTATTATGAAAGTAGTTGCTTTCAGTGTTGTATGAATGGACATGAAAACGATCAAACACAAACCATGACTAGAGCATTTAAACACATTTTTAGCAATATCTTGTCTGCTTGGATCCCTTTAGATCATGTTTCACAAAGTCAAAAAATATATAAAATGTACTTGATAATTTTTTGGATTTTCTTTAATGATTTGTCCAACAAATGCTAATTCTTCATTTAAATCAGATTTAAGATGATATAAAATTTTACGTCTATAACACCACACTGTATAATTAGCCGGATTAAGTTGACATGCAGTTTTTGTTAAATCAAGTGTTCGTTCACTCAGTTCATTTGTTTTCATACAGGCACGCATATAATCAAATGTTTCACGAAAACGATCTGAATAAGCTATTTGAACAATAGGATTTGGTCCATCATCTTGTTCAATTGGTACAACATCAGCCCATTCAGGTCGATGAGAAAATTCAAGTTGATTAGCTAATGCATCAGATTCAGTATCAGAGTCTGAGTTAGACATTCTTCTATTAGAAGTTTGTTTTCTTTGGTTAAAAATCTAAAATGAAGATAATATTTTTTTATTTTTGTTTAGTTAAATTGGAATCATAATTATCGATATAGATCACTGTTTTATGAGAAGTAGCATAATAACAAGTGCTGCAATGGACTAAAAATATACATACAGTTCAGTATGAGAAAAACTAGTTGAAAAAAAAAAAAGAATCAGATCAAGTACACTCAGTACTATACGTTAGGAAGATCAAATTGGTTAGTTGAAAAATCATAAATGCAATATAGATTTTGTTTCTATTTATACACGAGTCACTAATATTTGTGGAAACCATGAATTAGCATGACCAACCTAAAATAATAAAACAATCATAATTCTATTCGATTATATAATTAAAATTTTATACATGTTGAAATGTATCTAACAATATTTGTTGTCTTGATTGTGTACATATATTTTCTATATCTTCTTTTAGACAATTTATTTCTAATGATAATTGTCGTTCTAATAATGTTGGCATAGAATTTTGATCATAACGACAATAACATTTTGACCATAAAACTAAATTAAATGTACGCCAATCAACATAGAGATCATCTGGAAATATTTGAGGTGATTCAATATTATCATATTCATATTGTTCAGCATTTAATATAATTGGTGCATTTGTTATTGGAATATCAAGTGTATATCTTCTTGTTGTTGGTGTTTCCAAATAATAAACATTTCGATTTGAACATCGAGGTGATGCTGATGTTGGATAAATAACTGTTGCTTCAATTCGAGGTTTTATTGTCTTATTCGAAGATGATGACGATGCTTGTAAATTAAATATTGATGCATCATTCTTTAATAAACGACATATTTCAGGATGAAGATATTGTGAAAAATCAAATGATGATAAGACAAAAATATTTTTTGGACAATTATATATCATATGAAGACGTTCAAGAATATCATTAAAAATAAATGTATGATGATAACAATAACAAACATTACGATAAAATTCAAGTAAAAGATAATCAGTAAATTCAAATGAAAATGGATTTTGAATAATTAATTGATGAACACAATCAAGAAAAAGAAGAAAAACTGGTGCCTAACAAAAAAAACAAAAATATAGAATATTTTATAATTAAAATAAAATAAACTTTACTTCTTGTACTGGATTTCCATTTATATCATAGAGTATTTGTCCACAACGTTCAAGAAATTTATGACCACGAATAAGCCATTCACGAACAATTAATTCACAAAAACCTTTTATTGTACGACATTTTGGTCGAAGTAAAATTTGTATTAATGATGACATTAAACAACTATTATCTGTATCACTTCCTAGGTTTTGAAATACAAAAATTATGTTATATTAATATCAATCACTATTATGTCCTTAGCAAATTAAAAATATGAAATACAATTGATTTGCATTTGTTGTAAATCAAGGAATTTTGCAATATAAGTTTCAACTTGAGGCTTCCAACATATTGAAATACTCATGATGAAAGATGTTATAGTGACTTTGAAAAGGATGAAGGATGAAAGACAGGTATCTTAAATTTAATCGTCTTACATTAAAAAAATGCACCAACAGTTTTAGTTCGTTTGAGTAACAAGGAAACATATTTAAGTGCCCTTTTACTTAGAAACGAGCTGACATCTAGCCTATCTTGTAGAAAATTTTCCGCAGATTATAAATATCGTTATCTTAGTTGCCACTGATCGAACCTTTAAAAAACCTAAGGGACATATAATTCTCCTTGAAGCAGATGATTTCATGAAAAATCAAGTATCTCAGAATTCCCTACAAAATACGTAGAGAATTTGTTTTTAGATAGGACACTTAAATATGTTCACTCGTAACTCTATCACAGTCAATTAGGTGTTCAAATTTCTATCATTATATTTCAAAACTCCTGTCTGATAAAACTTAGTTTCATGCACTACGATATAGTTTTTCATCAGTGTTTAACGTTCTATGTGTTATAGAACATGTATTTCAACTCGTAAGTTTTGTTTTCAAAGCTAAACAGAAGATATTCTAATTAATGGAATGTGAATTTTTTTTTTTTATTACCAACTAATTCTATATTTGTAAAATCAAGTAATTTAGCTAACGATGCAGCACCACGTAAAGTTTTTGAAACAAATTTAAGCCATTTGGATGTATTTAATTTAGTCAACCATTTCTCATCATCATCATCTACAATGAAAAACAAAAATTAAAAACAAAAAACAAAAAAATTGCTTTTAAATACCAGGTGCTATTGCACATATTTCAATTAATTTTTCATAACTTGTTTGTAAACGTTTTAAAGTACATGGAAATTTTGATACATTATAACGTTGAAATGGTTGGTCATATACATAATCCGATACAGGAACTAAATTTGTATCCGTTGTAACACGACGTAAACTAAAAAGAAATGTTATGTTATCTTCTTTTCTATTATTCAAAATAAAGTAAAGTTTTTTTTTTTAATGATATATTAAACAACTTTCCAACACCAAACACAATAACAATAACTACACATGCAACATATAGAAAATAGCAACGGTTACCGAGCATGTGCATATGTCTCACCCATCATCGGGCGGTATTTGCGACAAACCAGTTGAGTCGCTAGGTGTTGTTTTAGTTTCATTTGTACATACCGATTTTGAAACATCAATAGTATTTCGACGTAAAGGTTTCCATAAATTTTTTTTTATTTTAAAAAAACGAAATGGTGATGATGATATATAAGATGGTGTACTCACTGATGATTCCCTACTTATTAAGAGTAAAAATGAAGGAATTCAAAAATAAAAAAAAAGTCTTATTCATCTTTGAAGATTTCACTAAAATTTTTCTATCATTATTTGTTTTTTTTTACGATATCAACTTACGGTTCTCCACCACTCGTGGTTTCGCCGATTCCTGGAACAGTAATAAGCATATATTTTTGGGCTTGCATTTGTCTTCTATTGTAACTATTATTTTCAACTAGAGATGTATGTGTCCAATGCCAAATCTTTAAAGTAAAAAGAAAACAATTCATATACATCTCTTGACAAAAGTCTTCCTCTTCCCCTTCTTTTTTTTTGTAGGTTTCTAATATTTGCTTTCTTTTTATTATCGAACTAAAGTAAGATATCGTCTTTCCATACTATTGACCAATCTTTGCCAATTGATGGGGTTTCCCATCTCTTTCTAATTTCCTATTCTAACTCTTGAATTTCTTTTTTGACATACTGTCTCTTTCATTATCGGCCAAATGTTTTTTTGAATTGAGTTTCGATCTAATGATGAAGAGGTTGAAGGCCGAACATGAATTCGATTATCTATCTTCCAGTTGATCGTTAGAGAGAAACAATGTTTAGGATTATTGTCCACTTGAAAGATCTATCTGTCTGTACCTTCAGGAAATAGTTGATGAAGAGTAGGCAGGCAGAAGACTGTTCTTATATATGTTCCACATAAAATCCCCTGTCAAATTGTTTTTGAAAATAATTGACATCCAACAGTACATAGACCTATATCTAAACCGTCCTTTTTTAGAATTTTAGAAATGTCATTTTGATATAACGTTAAGCTTATGTTTGGCAATATTAACAATTTTTGTATCAGCTTTGTTCAACATGACACGCGATCGGATAGTTCTTGGTAAACTAGGCAAGTCTCCGTTTTGTTGCCATTTGATAAGCCAAGGCCCATATGGCTTTAGATTTACACTCAATGTACTTCGAAATAGCTTTATTTAATAGTTTAGGACTTAGTGGACTTGACTTGAGAAACATTGTTTCACACCGTTATGATAAACAGTGGGGTGTTTCAAATTTTGTGAAAGAATGATAAAAAAAAAACTTTTTTTCGATATCGATGCACATTTTACATACTAACAATTGTTACTTGAGACTAGGCTATCGAAATTGACAAATACGAATAATAGAAGTGTGAACGAGTATTATCTATAGCTGTATTTATGATAAAACGAAAGCAAATATAAAAGCTTCTTTAAACAAAAGGAGGAAGAGTAGACATTTGCCTAGAAATGTAAATCAAATCAAATTTTTTATTTTTTTTTCTTACCAAATCCCCATAGCCATCATTATCTTTACTATGTATCAAACGAACATAAGGACCTTCACTAGAAGAAAAACAAAATCAACAAACTAAAAAAAAAATTTATTGAAAAATTTTCTCTACCTTTTTATAATAGATTGTTGATTAAATTTCTTTTGATCAACAATCCATTGTTGTTCATTTGCTTCATATAATTCATCTCTCCAATCATTAAAAGTCATATAACTTTTTATATGTTCATCATTAATCAAACTATAATCTAGATTAAATTAATAAGAAGAAATATAGACAACATTCCATCAAAAGAAAATTAATTAACCTGCTAGATCAAGATCAAATAATGGTGGACTTGTCATTGTTGATAATGTATAATTATGATTATTTTTTGGAGATAATTTTTTTGTAGAATTTTGTTGTAATGCAATAAATAAATATAATTGTTCTTTATGTTGAAAACGGCTATGAAATTTTAATGCATCGATATACTAAGAAATGAAAATAATTAATAATTTTATTTAGAGTTTAAATAGAATATACTTTTTCCATTTTTGTTACTGAAAATTGTTGTTGTTTAATGCCAGTTGTATTTGATTTTGTAACTGAACATTTTGTAAATGTTATATTTCGAAAATCCTATTCATTAAAAGATTTAAATAAATAAATTATAAAAACAAAACTACGGATAACGTAAAAATTCTGTATGAACTTTGTTTTTTTTTGATAGCGTTGCAATACAATACAGTAGAACTTGATCTTTTTCATTATTGACTTCGGATGTTTTTCAGTATCATATATTTCTATATATGTCAGCGTTCAATCCCACTAGAGAACGTTTTCCACTGATTAGTCACTCTTTTTACGATAGCTACTGGATTATTATATATGAAATCAATGTGATCGATAAATCATTATTCAGTAGCTTTCATTCAAAAAACGAGCCAATGTCAGATTGAAAGATTCATACTACCAATCGTGACTTTTCCTTAAAGTTTCAGGAGAATCTTAGATAGTGTTCATTAATAAACTTGTTTAAATATCTTATAAAAAAAACTGCGTCCTTTTTAAAATAACGTTGTTTAGTAGAAAATTCAATAAAGTTCCTTTTTTAATATATAATATATGTGAATATTTTTTTTATGACTTTCACAAATATGATATATCATTGCAACGCTACATAAAAAAAAATTAATTCAGAATTTTTATCACGTATCTGTTATTATTATACCCGTGTAATAATTGTAAATGTTCGTGTTTCTGATTGTATTTGATTTTCATTTAAAAATGATTTAAATCCTGCTCGAGAATTGACCGCTTCAAAAAAAGAAAAGTACAACAGATGAAAATTTACAATGACATTCTATTAAAAAATAATTATCATAAATACATACGTGCAACATTTATTTTATAAATTGACGCTAATGGAATGTCATAATCACCAATATATTTATTTCCAGAGGATATCTAAGAAAAATAATCGTATTTTTAGGATATTTAATATTTCTATCTAAAGCAAAAATGTAGTGACGTAACCAGAAGATGGTGGGTAGTAGAGAAATACATTACAATTTTTGAGAATAACCTATGGAATATAGTGTCCATGATGGTTATTATTATATTTTTCTTTCTTCTAATGATAGAACGACACTCGGTCTAGCCCACTCTTGGTTCCGTCACGAAAGAAAATATTACATACTAAATGATTCTCGTCAGCTTCGTCATCTGGTGCAAATACAAGTCGAAAATTTGTCATATATAAAGTTCCAACTAAACGTTTACATCCACCTTCTGTATATTCAACATTATGAACATACATATTAAATGGAAGTTCTTCTAAACAATAGAATGTTTTTATTTTATTTTTAAAAATTATAAAAATCATGTAAATACAAACGTGGTAATAATTTTCGAACGATTTTTATAAACTAAAATAAATATATTTGTATTTACATTTAAATAAATTTTTTGTTTTTGAAACATTGTACATACTTCTGGTAAAATACTTTGTAACACATCATTTTGTGTTACTAAGTCAATATTAGGATCATTTGCATACATTTGAGATTTTTCTTGTCTATTGACACTTGATGAGAGATTGCCGAAACTATTTCGGCGAAATGACATATTCTAATTGATAATTTTCATTTTGTTTGATATTAACTGAAACAAAAAACAACAAAACCCAATCTGAAGGACTATAATCAGATGAATCATTTCGAATGATATAAATAGTTGGTTTTATTAACCAATAGAATTCAAAAGAGAAATTTTTACAATGTAATAAAGTGTGTCAAGTGTTACATTATTTTAAAAAGAATTTTAATATTGACAAATATAGATAGCACTGTTATCATGTAGTTCATCTCGATTTAAATGAAATGAAGAAAATAATAATTTAAATTTTATTAAAAAACTAACGATCGATTATAATTATTATAATATTTAATTAAACTCATTAATAATGTTATCCTAGTAAATGTATTAGGTTTAAGATATCTGAAAGAATATCCTATTACCAGTATATAACAGGAACTTATGGGTTTTCTACTAGTGGACTTCAAAACGCTTTTGAGTGTTCAATAGACTATCTTCCTAAGAAAATTTTTCATGCGATGCTATAGAAAGTGGACAAGTGTTTATGCATTGAAATAATTCGCTGTAGGACATCCAACCAAGATTCTATTATATACTGAGAGCAGAGCATCTTTTCTGGTACTCTGCTGAAAGCTGCCGGAGTATATGGGTACTTTGAATTCAGTACATTTAATAGGGATTAATGTTTTGTATTAATATTACTTGTGAACAAACATTCTATGGCCAACTTGTTCGTTTATATAAGTTATATGAATATTTTCATTTATAAAAAAGATATAGAAATGAAAACATCAGCTGACTAAAAGAAATTCATGATCAGTATTCTGAAGAGGTGTACTATTCATTATTCTTTCTCTTGTAACAGTCTGAATTATTTATAACTTAGTTTCTTGTTCTCCATTCAAAGTTAGTCTATAATAATTAGATCTAAAAGGTATTAATCTTGCTATCATTTCATGTTGAACAAAAATGATGAGGATATTTGTAAAGTAATCGCTAACACATGCATTGGCTATACTATATGTGATACTTTCAACAAAATGAATTTATATTTTTGAAACATCGTTGCATTTATAAAAAAAAAACATTTCAAGATCACAAAACAAAAACTAAAGTGAGAGGATCATAATACATTTTTGATTGTTGTACAAGTGAATCAATCAACAAATTATAATATTCATCAGTACCAGTATTTTACTGGTTTACTGTGCTAGAACATCATGACCCAAAGCAACCAGTACTTTTGTTAGCGGAATCTCTTGCAATCATATTACTACTAATAGTAATGTTAACAGTATCGTTGCAATATATTTAGTAAGCAAAATGTCCTGTGAAGATATTATTCAAATATTGATTTAACTCATGACTATTGGGAATGAGTGCATTGGTGTTGTTGAGTGTTATTAATAAAAATTTTATTCGTAGCTTTTGCTCATAATCAAACGCTTACGTAGTTGATATATTTCTAATTTTCAACGGATTGATAACGTCTATAAATTCGTAAAAATTGCTTTACACTGAAGTTTTTTTTTCCTGCTTCCTATCATAACAAATATACACAATAAAGATTTTTTAAAAACTTTCACAGCAAAATAAATGAACATTCTTTATTAAAAGGATGATTCGATGTGTTTTGATGATGGAAGAAATAAGATCATCAAATTAAAGCAACTACTGACAAAATAACCTATAGGACTCAAAGAGGAAAGTATTCTATTTTAGTTTTCAAGTTTTCGACTTCATCTTTTCACTATAAGTAGATCCCATTGGCACTCAGAATATCTTAAAAGCGTTCGTAGTTATGGATCTTCATTTACCGATCGTATATTATTTTGATTGGACAATGAGTATTCAACTTATAAATTATTAACTCGACCGAATGATAAATTTTCAATGCTGTAATAGTAAACAATTAATAGTCTCATAGTTTCAAATTCAAGTTGAAATTTTTTTTTTCCAGGTTTGCCATTCTTTATTCTTTTGCTTTTTCATGCAATAAAAGATAATATATTATATATAACGACTATGGTGATATCGAGGCCAAAACCCGCTATAATTAAATCTATGTTAAAAGACCACAGCTATTAAAAAGTAGAAATGATGACTCATTTTATATACTATTGACACTTATCTTATCTGGATCTTTTTATATCATTGTTGCGTATTTCTTATATTTTTCTGGTTTGAATATTTACCTATCTATATTCGTTACCATTTGCTAATAACAATTTAATTAATGGTTCTTATTCGTATAGTTATAAAAGAAATAATCATTGATTTACCAACTGAAATCTTCCCTACCGATAGTGTTAAGATGGTTCGCAAAATAAACATAGCTACTCATAGATGCTACAACATTTAATTAATGATGATTTCTTTTGTCAAAAAAGTCTATACATCATATTAAGAATGCAAAGAACGACGAACAAATTAATAAAAAAAAATATAGAAGCAGACGATAACATCGAATAACTTTCATTAAACACACATATTGGAAATAGTACTTCTGGATTCAGCTATTGCAGTACTTGATAGATATTAAAGATATTACTTTTCTGTATAAATCCGGTGCCGCCTATATGAAATATACGAATTTAAAAAGCTTATTTCACATTTTTGTACACGTATATTTTCTTTCAACATTTGCATAAATCCAGTTCGATGATCTGTTTGTAATATTATTATACCATTAAATAGTTTATAGTGTCCTCCAGCAAATATCCAAGTGTGGTAGTCAAATAATAAAGATTCGTTTCGAAAAAAATGATTACAACAGCTATTTTTCAACCAAAATCTGAGACTCGAAGATTTTAAGCGTTAGTGATTTTTTAATGCAGCAAAAAACCTCAAAATTCAACTTAATAGTATTCATATTTCATATAAAAATCACGTAAAACACTATAAACATCAAATCAAACCAAAAAATTCAAAATCTTCTTTCATTGCATAAAAAACAAATGAAAGGTACAGCAAGCTCTGAAAACATTGAAAATTTTCAGGATAATTTTCTCAATATCAATTTGTATACCGTTTGAATAGAATCCGATTTGACAAAGAGAGATGCAGTCATATGAAAATAAACGATTGATATCCATGTTTTTAACATATTCTATAGTTTTGTTTCAATTAAAATTCTACTGATAAGTTTTTCAGCGAAAAAATATGAGTATAGTTGTTGAAAACAGAATATAAACTATATCATTATATGGATATTGAACATACTCTAAAAATAGCTAAACAATGATAAATAAAATAAAATAAACTAAAAAGAATTTCAAGAACAACTTCTATGGATTTCATAAAAGTTTTATAGGAAACAGCAGATTTTTCTGATCATTTTATTGTAATAGCTATTAGTAACCATCTTTTAATTAGGTAAGAATTGCTTTTTCTTTTCAAATTATCTTTTATCAGTATACTAATCATTCCAATATGCTGCAATGTTATAAGTGTTTTAGATAACATTATTCTTCATGTCATGTGTATTCATAAAAGTCGTAAAGTCTTTTCAAAATACCCAAAGTTTGGCATTTGTCGTCTTTCTTTATAAACGATTTAAACATCTATAGTTTATAACAAGGAAACAGATAATTCATAATAATCAATTTGATAGTTGTATAGATTCTTTCGACTTTTCACTGCTCCGTAAATATCAATGAAAGTCAATATCAATATGTCAGTCCGAAGTTCAGAACATGTTCTATGCAACAAATTCTTCCTCTTAAAAGTTCACCACGTAAATTTTCAAGATAACCATAAAAGCTTGAAAACATTTTTCTTTTCAAGAAGTTTATTCTAGAAATCTATTTTTTTTTCTTTATATCACATAATTGTCATGTTGTTTGCTCACAACCATATTTGTATATCTTTTACAAGATAGAAAGTTAACATTTTATTTCTTTGTGTGCAATATTTACCTGCTATATCTTTTGTTGGGCTAAGACTTTTTTCTTTGTTTGTTAATAATACATCTAATGTTTTTGTAGAGATGTATCACTCATCTCATGCTAATGGTTATATAAAAAAAAGTATCTTGATAAAAATGATGCTTATATTTTGCTGCCCTTGTACTACTTTGAAATCTCTCTCTCTCTCTCTCCCTTTAACGAGGGAGAGAGTTGTCGCCTATATCTACTACTGAAAAAGTAACAAAAAAAGAGATAAGATACTTACTCTTTTTTTTTTGAAGCATATTCAAATTATTCAGAATGAAGATGGACGTACATGAGAGTTGAAAGTGAAAATATAAGTGCATGTTATTTTCTATTTTAGAAATATATTTTTTTATGCGAGATATCGTTTAAAAAATAAGGATCATGGACCGTTTTGTGTTCTTGCTCCTTACTCTATACCTTATTGGTACTGCGGGTAAGTTTTATCAAAAAAAAAATGATTTTCTCGAAAAACGATTATTGATTCTTTTTTTGTTTATTAAAGCTCAATCAAATATTCCCAATGAAGGTCAGTAGTAGGATACTATTATGTTTTCACAGAATATAAAAGTCAGTTCTTTTTAAATATAGATACAGGTTGGGCAAATGACCTAGGCAATAACCATAATATAGGATGGCATGAATCCCCCCCTGCAACAACGAGTAATTATTTTACAATAGGATTTGATTATTATGATTTATTTTTCTTCTATAGGCAAGCAATCATTTGTCTTGAAATATTCAAATGATAAAGAAAATCTACAATCATCCGAACGACATAATGCTCGTCTATTAGGTACTACACATTTATCTTCGCGAGACGCACCATCTTGTCTCACTTTTGATTATCAAATAACGGATGATAAATCAAATAAATTGTCTGTTTTTGTTCATAATCGAACTGTTTGGCGTAGTCGATTACGTTCAGAACAAAGGTTTGATAAAAGAAATATTTTTTTTGTTTTTTGATTTACATAAAAAGAAAATTTTAATATTTATCTAGCAATATTCATATTCAATTAAATATTTCATCACCAGCAACTAGTTCGTTACGAATAGCAACACGTATTGCATTCGATGGACAAATAACAAACAATGGACAAATTGAATTGAAAAATATTTTAATTACTGATCGACCATGTCTTCCTTCAAGTAAGACTTATTATGTTTTATAAACGTACATAGTTTTATCATATTTCTTTATTTAGCATTAAAAAAGTCAAGTGCTAAACGTTTAACTCCACGTAAATATGCTTTATCTATTTGAATAGAATAGAATTTAATTTCTTTTCTTTCAGCTGTCAAATCTTCGAATTCTCGAACAATTCGATCAGTTACAACAAAAGCTGTTGCTGGTTATGATTGTACATTTGAACAAGATATGTGTGGTTGGACACAAAGTCCAAATAATACTCTCGATTGGTTTCGTGAACAACCTATTTCGAATAATTTAGCTGGAATAGTTGGCCCAACAACTGATCATACATATGGAAATTCAACTGGTTACTATGTTTCAACAAGATTACAAATTCCAGTAGATACGTTTTCAGACATCGATTTATCAGTTTTAGTTAGTCCACGTTTACCAGATAATGTACCAGGTCCAATGTGTGCTGAATGGTGGTATATGATGCATGGCACAGATGATACTGAATTA